TGCCTGTTTGTCAGAATGCGCGGCCATGTTTACTCCTGGTGTGCTACAGGGACGAGGCCTGGCGCGTTATTAGTTGTGACATATTGTATCTGACAGTCTATCCCTTTGTTTTAGGTGGCAATGATCAACTCCACCAATCTAACCTTCATCCAGAACTTCACAGGGGAACAGGTCAGCGCATCAGTCTGGGCTAGACTCCTGGGCACCAAGCTTTTTATTTTTGAATTAATTAAAGTTGGAATTACAGACAAATCATATAACAGCATTTGGTTTATGGTTGAAAATACTTGTGTTTCTTCCTTGTCTGTCCTTCAGATGGCCTCTCCTCCTTTGGATATGATGTGGCTGTGGCTGACCTGAACGGAGATGGGTAACTAGAAAACCTCCCTGTCACTCCAGAAACATACATTTACTCTTCCTTATTCTGAGTATCAAAACTATGCTTTGTGTCCTCAGGACGGACGATGTGCTGGTTGGAGCACCCCTCTATATGGAGAGAGAGATGGAGAGCAAACCCAGGGAGGTGGGCAGGGTTTACTTGTACCTGCAAATGGCCCCGCTCACTTTCTCCAAACCTGTTGCACTCACCGGAACACACACTTTTGGGCGCTTCGGCACAGCGATTGCACCCCTGGGAGATGTCAACCAAGATGGATATAATGGTATGTTGAGAGTGGCAGACAAAGAGAAGTAGAGGGGAAGGAAAGAGAAACAAAAAAAATAAACCCCACAGGAAAATTGACTGGGGAAATTCATCTCAAAAAAGAGAGAAAGAAGTAGAAGGATAGGGAGATCAGGGCATTTAACAAAGTCCTATTTTGCGTCTCGGTGCATGGATCTCTTTTCTTGTTGCTTGAGAAAACTTAAAGCTCTTCAGCCAATCAGGAAGTGTGGCATTGAAAGGTTGTCTGTGTGAATTTGTTTCCTTTGGTGATGATCAGAACTAAGTCCATGCATGTGTAAGTGTGTGTGTCTGAGTTATTTTTAACTCACCAGATGTGCCCTGAGATAAAATCATCTGGGAGTTTTTGTCCTGCAGCCCAGAGTTCATTCCATTTTGATGTTTGTTTTATCCTCACAGTGATTGGACAAAAATACACAGGCACATACACACACACTATGGAACCTGAGGCCCAAATGTTGCATGAAACTAAGGCCCGTAAACCACTGGCTTAAAAATGAACGACCTGATGCACATCTGGCCCTTGTTTGACATCAATTCCACTGATTTATGTTTTATTTATTCATGAACATGTGTTAATGTGTGTCCCACCCCTTTAAACCCTTTGACCATCAGATCAATAACCGGTGGATCAATATTGAAGCTTTCTCTGGCTAGAAACATAAATCACATCAGGCTGTCTATCGGGAGAGGAGATGGAGCCTCTCTGCCGGCTGCAGTGACACACAGACTGAAGACTTGTTGAGAGTTAATCTAATAAGTACACATCTATATCTGTGCATGATTTCATTATTCAGCATTGTATTTTAGAGTCACCTTGGAAACTGATTTCTGCAGCTTCTCTGTACTAATGTCAAACTGCATTCAAGTATTCCTGTGGCAGTTTGTATGTCAAAATCACTGGCAGGTCCCTTTTCTTTCTGTAATGACAGCGAGTCTAATCTTCTTCCCATAGCAGAGACCTCATCACTTGTTTTCTAAAATTCCTTATAAAAGCAGAATCATTTCCTTTTGTCTTCATGGCTCTGTGCACTGTCAGCTGTCAAAACCTTGCAATTTAGCTAATTTAATTCATGTTGTGGCTGTTTTTGTTTTTAATTTTTATCAACAAACACTGGCTTTCTGTCACCATTGCTCGCAGTGTCAGCATGTTTTCCTATAGTTCTGGTCACAGTGAACCCAGTGGGTGTTCCATAGATTTACATCATGTGGGATGTTTTTGGGTAATGCCCCATGTGAGTGATGGTCAGATTTTTTTGAGACTTTTAAAAAAACGTTTACACAGCTCTTCAGTTATGTGCACATACCGCACCTAGACATACAGACTTGCAGGCATACATGCGCAGACACTAGCACCTATATACACTTGCATACACACATGGTTGCATTTATACTCTCTACCCCACAATCTGCTTCATGTGGAACTAGTTGTTTAGCTTCAGAGAGAGGAGGTCCAGAGACAAACAGGATGTCTAGAGGTGTTTGGACAGTTTCAGTATGAGGAATACTTTAACCATCAGTCATTGCAGGACAGTGCAGTACATGGAGGCTAAGTGATTAAAAAATAAATACTCAGATCCGTTTTTATTATAGTGAATCTGTTACTTTTTACATCAGGGCAGGTGTTTACAGTAGGCTGTTTGTTCTACAGACTGTTTCCATGTTTAGGATGTGTGTTTTGGTGCTCGGTTGTTCCACAGCTACAGTATAGGCTACTGTAAACGTCATGTGTGAAGGAATGTTTGACCTTTTGGTAAAACTAAAAGCTTATTTTCTCTCTTGTAAGAATCAGATGAGAGGACTCACACCGGTCATGTCTGTTCATTAAGTATGACGCTACCACCAGCTGCTGGTTAGCTTAGCTTAGCAGAGAGAGCAAGGTTAACTGTTTCCCCTTTCTGCATTAATCTAAACTAACCGGCTGCTAGCAGGGGCTTTATATTTATTGAACAGACATGAGAATGATAACGATCCTCTCATCTTACTTGCCAGGAAAGCCAATAAGCATATTTCCCAATGTTAAAACTTCTATTTTAAGACACAATAGCCAAGACCATTGTTCAATCAAATAGAGATGATGTGTTATTTAATGAGTTTCAGAGGTGCCCACCTTTAGAAAGCTAAAGAAGAGACAATATCAAAAGATGAGTAAAAAAAAAAAGGTTTAAAAAAAAAGAGGAAAATGGCCACGCTGACATTGTCCCCCAGTGCAGATAAAAGAAGGTCAAGCTCTTTTCCTTCTACCTGTATGTTTTCCTGCTTCTGCCTCAGAGGGGCCTTAACCCTGCTGATGTCTTAACCATGCCTCTTTGTGTCATCCCTTAGACGTGGCAGTGGGCTGTCCTTTTGGCGGAGAGGAACATGGAGGCAGAGTGTTGATCTTTAATGGTAACAGAGATGTACTTAAGCAAAGCCTGACCCTGAGTCAAGAGCTGAAGGCAGCCTGGACCCCCAGTGGCAGCTTGCCTGGATATGGATTCACTCTTAGAGGAGGCCAGGATCTGGACAGCAACCAGTATCCTGGTATATATCTACACTCAACAGATCAGTCAAGAAAGTCTTCACTGCTCAGCTCCCCATGTTATAATCTTTTTTTTCTCAGAGCTGCATTCCCTCACCTCCCCACTTTCATTCCAGCTCCTTCATTCCAGCCTTCTTCCTCTTCTCTTCATCCTTGAGCTCCACATTTCGTTGTTTCCCCTATGCACTCCTCCACTACCATCCCCATGTTCTCTCATGATGCTTTACTCCCCTTCTCTGGTAAAGTCATCAGTCAGAAGAAAAGGGTATAGATATGAGTGCCAATGAACTGCTGCCACATCCATTCTTAGGGGATTTGTAATACTCATGAAGGAGAGAAAAATAGACAGAGAAAGAAACAAGTATAATAATATATTATTTACCTGTTCAGTCTGCCAGACATTCAAGCCTTGGCCCTTATCCCTAAAACTGTGAGCAGACAAAGACGCAGTCAATCAAATTAAATCAGGAACTCTATACTTTATGTGCCACCTACTTACTTTACCAGATATCTCCCACTTTGACTTTAAAAAACATATTAGAAACCTGACTACAATTGTAAAAAAAAAAACCTAAGAAGCAAAGGACTTTATGTGAAGTTGTTTCTATCCAGGAGTTTGTAGTTCACGAGGACAAAGCATTTGAAACAAGCAGCTCTGTAAAACCACTGTTTTGCTGCCTTATTTTCTCCCTAATTTGGAGCCACTCTGCTCACAGTATTACTTTGGTTTTGTGCTTCCACAGATTAGGCTGAAAATGAGAATTTGTTTAGTTTTAGCTTTTTTTTTTTCTATAACCCCACTCCCTTTACCCCGTTTTCCTTTTCTTTTTCCTGTAATAACAGATTTTTTTCATTCCACAAACAGGATATCAAAGGAAATAGACACACATTCACATGTGTTGCTTGTGATCAATTTCACTGCCGGTCAGGAATTATATGTGTTGAGTGTGCGCCAGGCCCCAGGTCAGAACTGGACCTGGTGCAGGCGCGCTGCAAATCACAGATCTTACAGTAAATACACACAGGGGTTACAGGTCAGCTGGTGGGTGGAAGTCCTTAAGCAGGAGAAACTCATGGGTGGCAGAACTTTGAGCCAACATACACACATCATATAAACACGTACACACACACAAACACACAGCGCTCGTGTCTCCTGTCATTAGAGAGCTGGCTGACGGAAGTGAGACGCACACAGTGTGTCGTTAGCAGGGTAGTAAAGTCACACAGTTCAAAGGAGTCAGCGATGTTTGATCAGCATTATGAGAGGACTGCGCGGGTGTCTGGGAGGCCTGCTACAGCCTCCATAGGCTCCCATCAACATTAAATGTCATTAGTCTACCACAGCAACACTGAGAGAAGGGAAGGATGATGATTAGGCTTCACTTTTAGCTTTAATTGGTGTTTCCACCAAAACCTTTCCACGATTATATCATATATTTGTCTTTTTGTTTGGCAGTTCACAGTAGGAAACTAAATAACACAAGATGACAAAGAAGGCAAGACAGGAACAAAACCTAGCTACGCTCAGAAGGAAGCTTAATTAAACAGCAGACATCTTTGTTTGTGAGCGTGACACAGAACTACTACTGACTGTTTTGAATGTTGTGGCTGGAGTTAATGTTAGGGTCCGTGATGTACTGAAAGGAGGTCACATTGCCTCAGGATGCATTTGAGGATCACCCAAGGGGTCAAAGGTCAAACACAGACAATGATTTACCTGTCAATCACCCCGCCTTGCTTAGAGAGTGAGAAGTGTCAGGGTCAGTGAAGTGGATGTGTGTAGAGGTGAGTGGTCATCAGGCTGGTCCTTAGGTTGGTAAGGAGGTGTAACATTTATTTCTCCTTGTATATTCAGTGGCCTTTTTTCATTCTGGATGTGCTTTGTTTTTTTTTGAGTTTATCATAAAAAAGGGTTAGAAACTATAGGCCATATGTGTATGTTTCCCCTTGTCCTCATACATTTGTTGAAAGTTGCTTGTTCCCTCAGTCGTATCCTGAGAAATGCCTCCTCATTGTTCAACAGCCCCATCTTTGCGGTGTAGAAAATGTACTTTTCAGTATAAAAATGTAGTGTTTGTGTTTTATTGAATATATGTATTGTGGCGGTGAAGATACTGAATTTGATACTACAATCCTACGTGTGCATCCAACAATTCTGAAATCCTTTTCCACCGAGTGCCATTGACCTTTGGCACTTCATCAGTGAGGCTGGTCCCCTGCAGCTAAACAGACAGTCAGGGCAGGCAGCCAGTGACAGCTTGACAAGTCTGTCTAAACTTTGGATAGAAACTGTGTTTTCACAACTCAGTTACTAAGACTATAGCTGTGCCTAGACCTGGCATCGGTGAGTGGAGAGTGCATACTGGCGTGTCTGGACATTTATGTGTGGGTATGGTTCAGTATGCCTCTGTACACACACACACACTAACCTCAAATCAACGGTGGGAGGCAAGCTTTCCTGTGTGTAAGGAAATGGGATTGACATGAAAAGGAAAGTGGGCCGTTATTTGATTTAGCCCTCGGTGCAGCCATGTGCGCGCTCACATTCTTAACCCCAAAGGTGCTCTATCCTCAAATCCGTCTCATGTCGTACAGTGGTTTTGAGAGCAAACACAAGTGTTGGGATAAGAAGAAGAGGCACCCACTGTGTTAAACACATACAGTATAACCAAGGCAGGAGTGGAGTTAGATTTCCAGGTTACACAACTTCAACAACAGGATATATAGAGGAATTTAGACTGAAAGTGAGTAGGTCCCTCTCTGTCTCCTCTCCATTGCTGAAAACACACCTTGCTTCTGATGGCTTTCACAGCTTGCTGTTTAAAGGCCAAGTGCACAGTCCTCCCTGCCTCCTTTCTTTGGATCAGTTCCAACGTCCTCCTCCTGTGTGCGTTATACCCTTTTCTGTACCTCTCCAACTGCCCTACACAGCCCACATCTTGGGGTCCATTCTAAAGCACTACACATGCACACACACAGAGAGCCTCACACACTCACATCGTGGCAGAGCACACCCTAGGGGAGGAGGGACAGGGCTTAAATGTTTAATGTTGTGGTTTCAGGGGGACTCAGTTACTGCAGCCAAAGGCAGAAACAGATGTGCCTCTCTCAGATTCAATTAGTTCCTTTCTTCTTAAAGAGAGTAAAGACACAGCAAATGTAAAGTAAAGTCTACAAGAGTTCACTTCCACCAGCTTAGTCCAGTATTGTCTGCAGCAGGTGGCTGTAGCATTTTATCCTGATGGTTGCTTCTTGTGCTAAAACACAGGTTGATTAATCAACTTGATTGACATGAAATCAATGACAAACATGTCGATAATCAAGTTAAAACGCCAAACATTCCCAGGCTCCTGCTTTTCAAATGTGAGCATCAGTGGTGTATATCACAGTTTTGGTTTTAAACTGAATCAGTGTCAGTTTAGGGAGTGCTGCAACTGTAATGGCATTTTCACTATACGTTCACTATCTTATGGATAAATAATCATTAACTGCAGCCCAAGGTGCTTCTCACTGAGAAGCACAAGCTCTGTCTTTCCCACATCACTACTTTTTTTGTGTTGCTTTCCACAGTGGTGGATTGTACCCATTAAATGCCTCTCTTTGGTTTCACATTGTTTCAATCAGCATTCATACAAGTGCGTGTCTGTGTGTGTGCATGTGTGTGTGCAGCTTTCATTGCTATGTGTCCACTGGCCACAATCATTAAATATCAGCTCTATTTTAAACCCTGAGAGCCAATTAAAATTGTGTATTCATTACAAGATCCATGAAAAGAAAAATCACATATAAATGAGATCTTGTTGCTTCTAGCAATTAGGAGTTGCCTGTCACTATGCAGGCTGTTGGGAAATGTTGTTCTTTAGCGAGATGTGATTGGAGCAGTGGGCGGTGTGGGGCCCCCGTCACCGCACACACCTGAAGCACCACACTTAAACACATAGATACACTGCAATATAGTCTTGACATTCTGATATCACCATGCTTTTCCCTTCATTCATGACCGCTTCAGGCTAAATTTATAATCTGAACATGCCTTAACATGTGTGTTTGTGACTTCATTGTGCATGAATGTGTGTGTTAAATGTGAGAAGTATGTGTTTGGTTTCTGGAGTCCTTGAAATCAGTCCCATCTGTGGCTTTCTTCTAAGCTTTATTTCCCATCTCTCTCTCTTTCTCTCTCTCTCTCTCCTCACAGATCTGATCGTGGGGGCATTCGGTGCAGGTGAAGTGTCTGTGTACAGGTAAGATAGTGTTCTGTCTCAAAGTAGTCTTCTTTTCTTGTGTTTGTAAAACTCCTGAGTTTTCTTATCTCAGACTGTGTTATGAATGTGTGTGTAGGTCTCGAGCTGTAGTGTCTGTGGAAGCTGCAATGACCCTGACTCCCAGAATCCTGAACCCTGATGACAGACAGTGTCACCTGCCTCAGACAGACATTATGGTTACCTGGTAAGAAGAGCACACTTAAGTAATCTCTTAATCCAACTGAAATGGAAACTCATACCTATTTATGCATCTATTCTCAATCCCATTTATATTGTTTGCATTTATTGCCTTTAAGGACTTTTTCAAATCTTAATAGAATTTTCAGCCACCTCCATACAGAGATTAAAATGAACAATGATTTGCCTGCGTCAGTGTGTCAGTCCTGGATCAGCGTCTTTGTCTGTGCCATAGACCTCCACTGTTGTTCAAAAACAATTAAAAACACATCAGTGAAACACACCACTGCACTGGGTGACAGGTTTCCTAATTAGCAAACTCTAGACCCAAGTGTGAGGAGCTGGTGGAATGTAAACAAAGCTCGTGCAAGATCTCATGCATGTGCAGTTGACTCTGACTTGTGCTAACTTCAGGAAATTATGGCCACTCAGAGCCTTTGGGGCAGCTTAGTCAGGTCTGGTGTTTCCTTAGAAAAAAATTGTGTCACCCAGTGCGGTGGTGTGCTTCCCTGAAGTGTTTTTAATCATTTTTGAACAACAATAGAGATCTATCGCACGGATGAACAAGCTAATCCAGAACTGACAGCGGACAGCAATTCACTGTTGGTTTTAGTCTCTGTGTGGAGATTGCTGAAAATACCATTAATATAGGAAATGACTGGCTGTATGCTTTAACAGTGCTTTAATGCTGTGTTCTTAGCCAGGACATTTGTTTTTGAAAAACTGATTTTAATATCACTAAAAACGTCCACAAACTAAATTATGAAAAAATAATACTAATGAATGAAAATGTCAGCTGGGACTGGCTCCAGCTCCCCACAACCCTGTACAGGATAAGTGGTATAGGTAGTAAGCATGAATATTCTTCAATTCTTCATGAAACAAAAACATGAACCAACTAAGAAGTGCTGCCTTTAAAACACACCTGTCAATTAAACAAGCACTGTGTTTTCCCAATAACTATAGACTAGATCTCTTTTGTTTGTTTGTTTTCCAAAATGTTCTTCTAGCTCTTCACCACACTTCACAATTTGTTGTAATTTTTTCCAGCTGTTTGTAGCTCTGCCGCTTCCATTTGGAATTGCATTGCAGGAGAATAGCACCCCTCAATACCACACTGAAAATCAAGCTAAAAATGAGAAGCGACATCTTTGACTAGGGTAGAACTTTATTGATCCCACAGTGGGGAAATTCCAGACTAGACTTGATATGGTTACTTTTCCAGTATTAACACTCCAGATACTCAGCTGTGCTTTGGAAATTTGGAAACAAACCCTGTGTGTGTGGGTGTGTGCAGGTGAATTAAAGCAAAAGGGATCATAGTTTTAAATAAACATGAACCTAATGAGCCCCACTGCTGCACTGAACTGTAAATCTGTACAAGAAATCATACTGCATACTGGTATGCAGTAAAAAGTATATACTTTCACAGTTCACACACACACACACACACACACACACATACACTGGCAGATGGGCCAAATATTTCACCCCTGTGCTTTAGAGGTCTGCCATCAGCTAAGGTCTCTTTGTTTATGTGTGCAGTGCAGTCATTTAGCTGGACACTAAAAAAGCACACTCATATAACCTTAAAATTAAAATTTATAGGACTGTGCATTTAATTTGAAACTGCATAACTCTGTTTTGATTAGACTGTACGATAGTTCCTGTGAGCAGTAGGTTGGCTTTGAACAGGCTGGGGGTGAGTTAATCTAGTGGAACGTGTCTGAAGGCTCCTGCTACCTTTCCAGCGTTTGTTGTTGGTCCTAACTTATTGGGGCTGGAAGTCACTGTGGGACTCTTTGAACAGGAGAAGGCTGCTCAGCTAGTTGCCTTCAGAGTGTGCTTCTGGGTGTCTCTGTGTGTGTGTGTGTGTGTGTGTGTGTGTGTAGGGGTGTGTGAGTTGGCAGTGAGTGAAAAGGGAAACCAGAGCGAACTAAACTGTGGAATTCTGTCAAAATAAAAGTCAGCTTATTTATTAAATAAACAAATATATAATTTTGATAAGAGGTATGGAATGAAGGGATGAAGTTTTTTTTGGACACTGGAGAGATCCATGGTGCACAAATTTATCATTTGATTTTTTGAAAATTAATTTCCAGACAATCTTTGAAAACCCAAAAGGTCCTTTAACAACACTGACATCTGTCCAGAATCTTCAGACACCTCTGACTTTCTGGATGAAAAAAAAATATTCTGTCTGCTGCACATCTTTTTTCATTTTAAGTATTTTTAGTGGCATTGTATTACAGACAGTGGAGTTCCACCTCTTTTCCCATTTCAAAATAAAGACAGTTACCAGAATTTACATTTCTTTTTGGTCAATTCAATCACTTCTTTCCAATATTTATATTCTGATCCAAATTAATATGTTCATATTTTGCAAAAGAAGCAAGAACGTTTCTCATTTCTGGGTTTAAACAAGGAGAACAAGGGACAGTGTCTTGATGACCAGTCTATTAAATTTAATGTTCTCACTCATTAAGTAACCCAGGGTTGTGGGAAGCAGGATTTATGTGTACATTTTTACAGGGAGGGCCGGGTAGTGGTGGAGCACTGATGCATTTTGGGTGAAATTACATACAGTAATGACTAACCAAGAGCGAGAGCTGTTGTCAGTAAAATGGGGATCAGTTCTGCACTGCACGCACTTCATTTTGACATGCAGTGTTTATTAGAGTCACACTTGAGCATACTCGCACCCAAATGCATAACACACACACACACACACACACACACACATGCTCGCATGCAATGCATATAAAAACACACACGAAACCACCTGCATAGGTCAAAAGAACTTAAGGGCAATTTGTAAAATAAAAACCTGTATTTAATGACACACAAATAAACACACATTTAGAACAAAGCCAGGCAGGAAAACTCATCATTATTGTGTCATTCAGGGTCCTATGTAATTATCAACAAACACACAAGCATCTGTGCTCTGGTTATTAAGGTTTATGACATGAAACCAAAGAAACAACACTTACATGAAGTCGTTTACCTTATGCCATATATTGCTGAGTCGTCAGTGTAGAAGCAGGGGCGTAATCATTTGTAAGCTTCCTCCAATTAGTGGACACTAACAGCTCAGAGCTCCCTGTGTGGGAGTCACTTTCCTGTTCCTGATTAAAAAGGTGATAACACACATGCACACACACCTACGCACATAAATAGAGGAAATGCAGAAATGTTTTCCCAGTCTCCCATGTCTGTGGGTTAAATAGAGGTTGTTCCCACCGGCCCCTGGAGTATAGGAAGAAGGAGATGCCTTGCTTAGGGGCAGTTTAGTTATTGTGCATACAAATATGAAGAAGTGCTAATAATCATCACAATGTGTGCTCCCTCTTCTTTTCTGTTTCTCTATCTTCATCCAGTTTGAAGGTTGATGTGTGTGCAGCAGTGAGCGGTGTTGGGATCCCCAGCTCTGTAGGTAAGCAGCTGTGTACAGGAGGATGGACTGAGAGAGAGGGAAATGGGTGGGACAGTAGTTAGATGAGATTGTCATTAGAGTTTCCGGCTGGAAAACTGCATCAGGGTGGAAAACTGAGGCACAAGGAATGACATCAGCAGAGTCAGACAGTGGAGCTGTGAAGTATTGTTTCCTCTGTCTGGTGATGCTTACACCTACAAATGACTCCTTACTTTGTAACTAATGGAAGGTCACATTCAATCATGCAGGCACATTCACACATTTAAGGCATGTCTGGTTGACTCTCATTGTTTCTCACTTCACAACTCGACCTCTCTGTCATTACCTTCTGACCAGACCTGAGAGCGGAGCTGCAGCTGGACTGGCTAAAAGGCACCAGGGGCGGAGTTAAGAGAGTGCTCTTCCTGGACACCCAGCAGCCTCACCACACAGGGCTGCTAACACTGGGTCACAGTCGCCCACGTGCATGTCTGAGCTACACCATTTACCTGAGAGTGAGCAAAAAATGCATACACATGCTTTACATAATGTTGTGTATATGTTGCTAGATAAACCACACGAGGTTAACTAACTGGATATTTCTTTCCTCTTTGTCACTCTCAGGAGGAGGATGAGTTCAGGGACAAACTGACCCCCATCTCACTGGCTCTGAACTACAGTTTGGCTCCCCCTCCCCCCGGCCAATACCTCCCGCCTGTCCTCAACCACTACAGCAGCACCTTTCTGCAAGAGCATGTGAGTCAGTAAGCTCAACGCTGACAAATTTCAAACATCAAATCCAGTCTGGTCTAAAGCTATATTTCATTTCACCCACTTTCTTCGATAGAAAAGCGATACCTGGATACGAAAAGGCTTTCTCACAAATAAAACAAAGTTACTTATTAGTTAGGATCAATCTAATCTTCTCTTTTCTCAGCACAGGGAAGATGAAACTCAGTCTTTTTTATCACACCTAAACGTAACAGATTAAAGAGTTAAAATCTAGGATTCATCACAAAATCAGGAATGTGTAGAGAATGTGTGGAATGCAGAAGATTGAAAAGTGAAGAAGGGGTCTGCTGCACACCACACATGTTGAAAGGTTTCCAAATCTTCCACGTACTGAAAGTGTTAAACACCAAGACGTTACATGTTTTTCCAGTTTCTTCATCTTTTGTTTCCACCACTGATCTTGTGTTCATGCACACCCATGGACGACACAAGGTCATATTGCCTCGATAAAGAAGTCTTACCTAAGTCTTACCTAAGTCTTACCTAAATTATTTGGGGCTTTAGGAGCATTCTGTTGCTCAAGACCTGGAGAGCAGAAATCTAGTCTGTGTGTGTATGTGTCTGTATGCACAGTATACAACACCTGAATCCTGGTGTGTCTCTGTCTTGTTTGTTTGTTTGTTTGTTTCTGTTTTTGGGTTCATCCAGTTTATCTCATGACAATCCCCACCTCTGTGCCCCTCTTCCTTTCAGGCCTATATTCTCCTGGACTGTGGTGATGACAATATCTGTGTCCCAGACCTCCAGCTTTCTGCCCACATGTAAGACTGACACAGCCATGCTCTCTGACCTCAACCTGTAAACACGCAACACTTCACACAACTAAATACAGACACACATCCACACACAGCTAAACCCAAGAACACATCTGTTATTCCTCACACAATGAGCAAAGTTTACACTGAAGTTGCTCACATTATATATCCATTTACCATGTTGAACATGAGTGAGAGGGAGAGGGTGTTTGTGTGCATATGTGCATGTGAATTAGCCTGCTCTCGATAATGATTCCCGCTCTACAATGTCTCCATAGCAGCGTTATACAAACACACTGTCACCTTCTGCACACAGGCTCACATCCAGACGTTGTTGAGGTTAGCTTTGGGATCAGTGGTATATTACATTCATTGTAGCTGAGTGGATCACAAGTCCAATGAACTATAAAACTATAAAACAAAGTAGGAGTTCTTATATGAAACTGCAGCGAAGTTTGTCCTGAAATTATTTATGAAATTATGTATTTTCTTTGTACACATTCTCTCTTTTAAATAAAACACACCCATACAGGGACCGCTCAGAGCTTGTGATTGGAGATGACAATCTGGTCACGTTGACTATCACTGCGGTGAACCGAGGAGAGGGAGCCTACGAGACAGAGCTCCACACACTGATACCACCAGGGGCTGACTACATAGGGGTGAAGCGCAGGGTGGAGGTTAATACACACACTTACACTACACATTCTGCACATACATTTGTCTGAAATGAATTGTTCTGGTTTGATGCTGAGGGCCAGTAGTGTAGAAAATAGACATAGAGGATTGAATCTACTGTCTCATCTCAACTGAAGCATGTTCAAGAGGAGGTGAGCTATTTGAGACAGCAGTTACAGTATGACAACACATCCTGTTGTGTCTTTGTGGCATGTGTTTGTTTGACTTGATTACAGCAAGGAGATCAGTGGGGGTATGTTTTACTGGCAACTGCCCAGCGACCCTTATTATGATTTACAAGCTGCATTAGTGACCATGGAAATGGATAGGGTCAGCTGCCGTGTGTGTGTGTGTGTGTGTGTGTGTCAGCATGCGTGTGTGCACTAATGAGTGTGTAATGGGGCTTTTTGATTGATGAGGTTGTTACAGTCCTAGCATTCATCACTCTTCCTCTCTTGCCTCCCTTTCCCCTCACTCTTTCTGTTTTTTACTCCCTTGCTCACTTCCCATTTTAGTGGTGTTGTACTTCCCTCCCTCTGTCTTTTCTTTCCCCTCTTGACTCTCACCGCTCTATTTGTCACTTTTTCTTATCATCCCATTCACTGGTGTTCTTTCTCTCCCCTCCTCTCTTTTCCTCCTGCAGTCCTTGTCTCAGCCAAACTGTGAGTACAAGATGGTCAATGAGTCTAGGATGGTGCTGTGTGACCTGGGGAACCCGATGGTAGCTGGGACAGAGGTGAGTTTTTACATACAAGAGCAACATCCCACACACACTTTTCAATTTCAAACACCTATGTTAAGAAGCTGCAACTGTTACTCCTCAGGTTTAATTCACACTGATTGATGCTTTCCACTGATTACTGATCATCACCTTGACCCTCATTCCACACACTCTGGCTCCCATAAATATACTTAACACTCAATTTGTGTGTGTATTTCTGTAAGTGTGGTGTGTTATAATTATCCATTTAGCTCTTGGATGGTTGGCACATGCAGGAAGCCAAAGCTTTGTAAAGAGTGAACCATTACTATATGAAATTCTTCCACAAAGCATGTCACATGCACTTTGCAGTGTGTTTGTGATAAAGTGCGTATATTACTATGAATGCAGGGTTTTGCTAAACGTGTCAAGGACGGGCTTCTGAGCTCTGGAGGTGACATAAGGCATTCTGATAAATCAATTATGTGGTCATGTTTCACCGCTGGGGGAGGAGAGCGCAACAAGGCATTGGGAAGTGACAAGCCGTGTGTGTGTGTGTGCGTGTGTGCACTCATGCTCCCCTGCTAGCCATCCAGATGTTTCCCATATTTAACTCTCCCGTTGCCCCACTGAACATTCAGGAATCCATAAGCTTATGCAGAACATACCTCCATATATACCTTACTCACTCATTCCTTGTGCTACACGTCACAGCTGTAGCGCCTCACTGAACAGGGGGATCGGTGTAGGAGGTACATGCCAGAATGAAAGCTGATTTTGGCTTCAGTATTTGTGCCTATCACTTGTCTTTCCTCTTGGTCTTCAGTTCAGTGAAAGATGCTGATTACAAATGTCTTTACATAAACAAGGACAATAGTCTGATTCCTGTCAGGTCATATGAATCCAAATATTTTTGGCATTGAAATACTGGCATTTAAATTACATTTCTGGTTTGGACTCATAACCCTCAACATCATTGATTTTTCCCAGTGCCCTTGAACCTTTTGGCAATGTACATTTAATTCCTCTCTTTTTGTAATGATATTTATAACATTAATATTTTCATCTATCTATTTTAGTAGAACACTATTTTGGGGATATGATAGTCTTATGTTCTGTAAAATTATGTAAAATATCATTTAAAACCACAGCAAAGAAGACAATTTGTTACAGATTTAGCTTTACCATAACATAACAACATAACAGTGAAACATGCTTTACTGAATTTCACATCAAATGATGATTCTGTATCTGTTCAGTAATACTGGATGAAAATTCTTATTTACATTGTGACATTAAATGTTCTCATATCACCAGACCTAGATTTAGGCCTACGTAACTGGCACTGTTGCCAAAACGGGCAATTATGTCATAATGGTAAATGCAAAACATAGTGTAACAGCAGCACAAACAGAACATGGATCGGGCTACACATTTCTATCTGAATCTGACCTGTGCCTGAGAATGTGGCATCCAAACCCAACCCAACGATCTTATAGTATATAATGTCTGAACCCGACCTGAGTCTGATGCCGTTGAGTTTCTACAGTGCTTTTTCTCTTATCATTAAATGAAGCAGACATTTGAATGCGCCATCCATCTAAAGTTTGACCTATGTGTCTGAAAACGACCCAGACCCAAACACAATTTCTAAATTTCTGTCCAAACCTGGCTCAAACCCTCAGATAACTAGGGGTCCTGTCAGGCTCGGCTTGGGTATCCATATTCTAAGCACAAGTAGAGGACAGTCATAAAGTAAGTGAACTGACAGAGTAGTGTTCACTATGCAGCGGTATCTACCTAAACTTAGATAACTTTAGCTGCCATTAACCAACATAAGCTACTGGTCATTCCCTTTTTTTTATTTGCAAGAGGAAGAATGCTCTATCTCTTTGATCAAGTTACATGCTCTTGCTTTAAGCATACCCCATCTAAAATGGTTTCAGTGTCAAACGCCCCTGTAGGCTTGAAAAGTGACAACCAAAAGTCACTTTACTTGAAGCTCACCCACAATAGTCAAATAAATCTTTATTTGTTCCAGTGGATTCCAATAGTGGCAACTCTGACAGTAAAGCTTTAGAAAATTCTCAAAGCTCTACTTCAGTGATGCTTCCACATAAACCACATCTCTCAGTATTGTTCCAAACAATCACTCTTTTGCCCAAATGTGGCTAAATACGCTGCTTGTGGCAAAGCTTTGTAGCTTCCAGGAGGGCAACAGCCAAACACAGACGCAATGTATCCAACCATACTGTGGCAAAAAGATCTGAATACACTGAGCACACAGATGGATGACAGAGAAACCGACAACAGTGCACGAGTGCTCTGAGAAAGTTTCTGTGACTCACTGATGAATTTTCTCCACTGGGAAAATGTTCAGTTGTAACTGACATAAATTCAAGCTGACGAAGGACAAAATTGCAAGGTTTTAACAGTGACCCTTAAAGCCAGGGGGTGAGGGTTGAGGTCAAGAGAGACTCTTGACCTCTTTGTTTGCTGCCTCTGCAGACTCCTCTTTTCATGCTGTCCTGCTCCGTTCCCTGTGAGGGAGCATCAGAGCTGATAGTGATGTCTGTTCTCTGAACAGCTCGTGTGCATTTGGTGTCTGTCTGATCTTTCCTGCCTGGCTCTGTAATGTGTCCAGTAAAGATGGCCTGTGTTTGTAGTCCTGCACTTCATCCCTCACCCCCCTCCAGGCCTGCCTCTTGAAGTGTTCCTGCAAGCCTGCATGCTGTCATAGCCCTCTCTGGACCATGTGTTTGACCTGTTGTTCAGCAGAGCTCACACACACATGTACACACAGAGTTGTCACACAGTTAATGATGAATCAACCCCTCCACATGCTTTGAGTTAGCGTGGAGGACGGGGGATTTAAACTGGGGAGAGACAAGAAACTTTACTGGAGCTTTTAAGAGTCTGTAGTCTGGATTTTCTCAGATTTTAGATTTTTTTTTGCACATGCACAAACCGTCTGCCTATGTAATAACAGAAGAGGATCTAGTTAGCAGGGGTTTACTGTGGCCTTTTATGTACAGATACATCTTATTTCTATCCTCTCTGTCATTTCTCGTTAACTGTCCTCCTTTTTCCCCTTCCACATGTTTTTTAATACATTCTCTTTTTTTCTCCATACTCCTGCCTAGTTGTCTGTCGGTTTGAGGTTTTCTGTCCAAAGGCTGGAAGATGCCGGACCAAAAATCAGCTTTGAGCTGCAAATCCACAGGTGACACAGCCACCGACACTCACTCAAACACACACACACACACACACACACACACACAAAGAGCTGTTTGTCTTTCTTCTGAGCCATGTAAACAGGTTCTGTGTCTGTCCTGAGCCTGTCACTGTCTGTGGTCTGATGAAACTAACCACAGAGACAGAAGAAGGCAAGATGGCTCAAAGGAACTCTGGAGATGAGAGGCGCTCTACACAACATGTCCACTGTTTGCTCTGTCATACTGATTCCAGTACATCACTAGACGGAGACGGTTAAATGCAGGCCAAGCCCAATGCCAGAGGAGTTCTTCTTGGAGGCAGCTGAACATAAAAATACAACTTTATTAGGAACTTTCCTAAGCCTTTGGTTTCACTCACATTGTATCACAGCCTCCTGTGAATTGTTTGCAAATAGAGTTTAAAGCATAGTCAATGTGGTGTTAGTGCCTTAGATTTGATTTAATTGTGAATCTCTCCACAGCTCCAACAAGGATAACTCCAAAAGCAACCCAGTCAGTTTGAGTCTGTCCATTGTTGCCAAAGCTCAGCTTGATTTACGTGGGTAAGTCAAACATTTTTGAAGTGAGAAGACAGTGTCTTTGCCACGGGACAGTGACAAAAGATTTTCTTGTTGTCTGCTTCTTAAAGACACAATTGATCTGGTTTCAATCTAAATATCTTGGTGTTTGCAGGATAATACTGACCCTTTTGTAATGTTTAAATTTGTGGAGCCTGTTTATATACAGATGGAAAACAGCATGAAAGCACATTTCTAGAAATAAATTTGAACTAATTATGTGCACATTGGATACTTGTGAGCCTTTGACATGTTCACAGATGCACATATGCTTGCTGATACATACACAAACACACGCACACTTCAAAGCTCGGAGCCTTGCATGACGTTGTTCGGGTGTGGTCAGTAGCGCACACAAACAGAGGGGGATCTGGGATTGGACACACGAGTTTGTTTAGGTACTGGCAACAGTCCAACCTCAACTGCATCCATCTAGCATTTTAAATTCTACTGTATATATATGACAAATCTTAATATTAACCAAGTAAGACAAAGTAGGTGGGGTGGTCACATGGTGTGCTTCTGTGCTAAACTATTTCAATTGCATCCCCTTTTAACTTCTAAACATTACGCCACCAGTCCAGAGCACAAACAGTTTTGTCCACGTACAGTAGATCAGATTACCTTGATATTTTCATTATGGTGTCATCAAAGGGAGAGAGTCATCTTTGCATCAGTTACATTTCCAGCTCAGGAAAATGTCCAGATTGTCATTTTGAGCCTTATTTGCAGTGCTGACAGCATTTCTAGTTTGGAATTATATATGGAAAGTATAGAGAGAATGTGAAGCTGATACGCTGCTGTGTTAAATTTTGGGTAAATGCACCATGTTTGGAGCATCATGCTCATTATCCATCATATACATTACATACTTCTAGAAATGTATTTAAAAACAATTAATACTGCCCCATAGAGCTACATACAGCAGCGGATGCTTCAACCAAGTCCAAATGTTCAGTTTGAGCACAAACAGGAGAAAAATTGATTCATCTGCAAGGTTTGTGTTATCTGCTGGCAGCTGCTATCTAGCGATAGCTCCTGAATTGAAAGCTTAGATCACTGTGCAGAGCCATTTTTCAGTCTGTTGCTCTAGTAGACTGGACCTCTAGGTCCACTCCAAGTTAGCTGCAGTCAGTAAGGTTATCCATTCTGAATTACCACAGTCAGTACAGTGAGAGCTCAACGATTTAAGCAACTTTTTAGTGAAACAAAACAAGAATGTATACAGATAAATATAGTGTGTACTTCTGAAAATGGTGCCCCCATACCAACATTTGATTTGATTTATTCTTTCAAGCATGTAAAGACAGTTGATATGTCAACACACATAATTTTACACATATCCAACAAATGCTAATCCAATATCAATTTGCTTATACCTAGTACATGCTTGAATGGAGTAGGAAGAAGTCAGACTTATCCAGTCCTACCCCATGACATCATCTTACATCATTGGTTTGCAAGCAGTATCTCTACATAAATAATTATCTTCTACACCACACAAGTAATATACTAAAAAAATTTAACAGAGTGTTAACATTCTTACATAATTACATTCTTAAATAATTATCTTCTACACCACACAAGTAATATACTAAAGAATTATTACA